CATCAAAAGTGATTTACATTGTCCAGCAACACCTGCGAAAATATCAGCGCTTTATTAATATTTATTATTAATCACTTGCTTCCCGCCCAGAGTACATTTACCGCCGGAGGGCAGCAGCTCCAAGCTAAGCGACATACTTGTACATCGTTCAGCATGCACGTACTAGCGCGTCCCGTGGGGTGCTTGGTACCTGGCTGCTGTGAGCATATATCATAACCAATCATAGCAATCACATTATTACATGTAAACAAAACTGTCATGAATGGCATCCATTCATAACAGTTTTGCTTACTGCTGTGATGCTGTGATTGGCCCTCAGCTATCACATGGTACCTAGCACCCTGTACTATGTGATTAGCTGTAACTATTAACAGCATCACAATAGTAAGCAATCTGTCATGAATGAAAGCCATTCATGACAGTTAAAGCTACTGCTTATATCAGTGATCATCACTGTTATAGGCATTTACAGGACAGAACAGCCTTCTGGAACTTGTATTTCTGAACAGCAGGACTCGGCTGATAAGCAGAATGACTAGGACTACATTTCCCAGGAGAGGTAGCGTGTTGGTGAAGGCATATAAATATGAAAGCTTGGGAGACTGTCCAGGAGAGTGCGGAGGGAGACTGAAGGAGCAAGAGGTGTGCTGTCAGCTGAAGTGCTGAACTAGGCCACGGAGTCAAGATTGTAGAGAGAGCAAAAAGAACTCACTTACTGCCTGGCCTGCCATGCTTTCAAGCAGACCATTCTGACAGCAGAAGAAAGAGTGGAATGTCAAGTCTGAACCAGAGGGCCCGTGGACTGTCTCTGTCCATTGGGAACAATAGATCATAGCAATCTGCCGAACCACATTTATCAGATGAGAGAGACCCATGTATCCATTAACAAAGTGAACATTAATAGTTTGCCACCTCACTTATCTGCTTGCACATAATTGTGAACATTACATACAGTGCCCCAGCTTGCGGCCTAGTTATACCAGCACCATTGTTGGAATATATATGCAGTACAGTTACCGTTGCTGACCATAGGACATACCGTTACAGTCCAAGATACAGCAGTGCCAATTAAATTAACAAGTCCATTTCCCTCTCTGCAGAGCAGGATTCCTACTAATGTTCACCTTTTGCCTTTGGCATTCAGCAAGAGTTGTCTTTGATTCATTGTCCATAGACATGTATGTCAGTTGTTGCTATTTAATACTTCAAGCTCAATTCATGGTCAGAGCTCTCAAAGAGAACCTTGCACTAATTCTTTACCATCAATCAGGGAAGTGTTGAATCTTCTCCTTTTCCCTTACTCTCTCTGATGTGACCACCCTGAGGAACTATCATCCCTCCCTTGACACAACTTCTCATTAACTGGGCCCCAACAGGCACACAGAAGACATTATAGAGCTCTTAAAGGGGACACTGCCAGTTGTAACTGAGAATTCTCTTTATTTCACATTTAATCATTTATATCTAGTTCTGAGGACCAACAGTGAGCTTATTTGTTATTGATAGTCATTCCTGCACACTGGGGATTCAACAGTCCGCTCAGACTGGAGGCAATGGATTATTTCTGAAAGCAGGCCTGCTAATATATACAGTTGTTTTATTGTGAATGTTGTTACTTTTGCTCACAGTTGCCAAGAGTGGCCAGATTTGCTGCCAATACCAGAGTTGTTTTGTTATTCTTGACTCAGTTACCTCCAAATCCAATATAAACTTCATTTTGGTTTATACTACTCTGTGTGTGAGTCATTCTACAAGTGTGATTTATCTGATTCACCAGAGCACGGTGGTGTCAGCAGACGTTGGACTTTCAACAAGAGGTCCAGATTGACAGGGAACCCAAAAATAAAGCAGCAATCCCTCAGGGGGTAGTGCTACAGTATTATTATAAGTCTTGGTAGTAGTAGATGTATATTAAATAGTTACATAGTTAGTCTGGCTGAAAAAAGACAAAAGTCCTTCCAGTTCAACCAAAAAAAAAAAGTTATAATCCTACACCCACAATTGATCCAGAGGAAGACAAAAAATCCAGCAAAGCATGACTCAATTTGCTCCTGCAGGGGAAACAATTCCTTCCTGATTCCCCAAGAGGCAATCGGATATTCCCTGGATCAACTTTACCTGTAAATGTTAGTATCCAGTTATATTCTGTGTATCTAAGAAAGAATCCAGGCCTTTTTTAAAGCAATCCACTGAGCTGGCCAGAACCAACTCTTGAGGGTGTCTAGTCCACATTTTCACAGCTCTCACGCGAAGGAACCTTTCCGTGTTTGGAGATTAAATTTCTTTTCCTCCAGATGTAAAAAGTGCCCCTTGTCCTCTGTGATGACCTCAGGGTGAATAACTCTACACCAAATTCACTATATGAACCACTGATGTATTTATACATGTTGATCATATCCCCCCTTTAATCTTCTCTTCTCAAGAGAGAATAAATTCAGTTCCTCTAATCTTCCCTCATAGCTGAGCTCCTCCATGCCTCTTATCAGTTTGGTTGCCCTTCTCTGTACTTTCTCCAGTTCCCCAATGTTATTTTTGTGAATTGGTGTCCAAAACTGAACTGCATATTCCAGATGAGGTATAACTAATGATTTGTACAGGGGTAAAATGATATCTCTCTCTGGAGTCTATACCTCTTTTAATACAAAAGAGGATTGTGCTTGCTTTAGAAACCACAGCTTGGCATTGCATGCCATTATTAATTTTGTGATCTACCAGAACTCCCAGATCCTTCTCCACCATTGAGTCCCCCAGTTGTACTCCCCCTAGTATGTATTATGCATGCATATTCTTAGCCCCCAAGTGCATAATGTTCCACCAATCAACATTAAACCTCATATGCCACATAGTCGCCCAATTAAACAGTGCATTGAGATCGGCTTGTAAATTGGAGACATCCTGTAAGGACGTTATTCCACTGCACAGCTTGGTGTCATCTGCAAAGACTGAAATGGTATTTTTAATCCCAGACCCTATATCGTTTATAAATATATTAAAAAGAAAGGGTCCCAATACTGAACCTTGGGGTACACCACTGATGACCCTAGACCAGTGGTCGGCAAGCCGCGGCTCGCGAGCCACATGCGGCTCTTTACACATTTTAATGCGGCTCTTCTGTGTGCCGGGCGCCCGCTCCCCTCCCTCCTCTCGGGCGGCCGAGGACTCTGCAGCTAGCCCAGCAATGATTGGCCAGTCTCGCTGCCACTCACATCCTGATAGCTAGTGATTGGCTGTCAGGATGTGTGTAGGCGGGGCAGCGTGACGAACGTGAGGGGAGCTAGGCTCCTCTCACAGTCCGCCCTGAAGACCGGAACGGCGCGGGGAACACGGCGAGAGGAACGCGCGGAGCAAAGGTAAGTGAATTGACACAGGGGGGACTTGGCTTACTACTTGCTACTTACTTACTACTACTATATGAGGGATGAATTAATATGGGGGATGAATTACTATATGGGGGATGAATTACTATATGGGGGATGAATTACTATAGGGGGGATGAATTACTATATGGGGGATGAATTACTATGGGGGATGAATTACTATATGGGGGATGAATTACTATGGGGGATAAATTACTATATGGGGGATGAATTACTATATGGGGGATGAATTACTATGGGGGATGAATTACTATATGGGGGATGAATTACTATGGGGGATGAATTACTATATGGGGGGATGAATTACTATATGGGGGATGAATTACTATGGGGTATGAATTACTATATGGGGGATGAATTACTATATGGGGGATGAATTACTATGGGGGATGAATTACTATATGGGGGATGAATTACTATATGGGGGAGGAATTACTATTGGGGATGAATTACTATATGGGGGATGAATTACTATGGGGGATGAATTACTATAAAAACTTATTGAAACTAAAAACAGTGTACCATCCTATGTATTTTCAGTTTTAAAAATGTGGCTCTCAAAATAAATTTCAATCGTGGTTTTGGCGAGATTTGGCTCAGTTGAAAAAAAAGGTTGCCCACCACTGCCCTAGACCATTCAGAGTATAAATAATTAACCACTGCTCTCTGAATACGATCTTTTAGCCTGTTTTCTATCCATTTACATACAGATTTTTCCAAGCCCATAGACTTTACCTTACACATTAGTCGTGTGTGGGGGAACTGTGTCAAACGCTTTTGCAAAATCCAAGTATATCACGTCCACCGCCACCCCTCTGTCCAAGGTTTTGCTCACCTCCTCATAAAAAGAAATCTTTCCAACTATAGAAGCTAAACTAACAGGTCTATAATTACTTGGTAAAGATTTTGGCCCTTTTTAAATATTGGCACCATATTGGCCTTACACTAATCCCGTGGTACTATGCCAGTCATTAAAGAGTCCCTAAAAATTAGAAACAATGGCTTTGAAATGACAGAGGTCAATTTTTTAAGGACCCGTGGGTGTATGCCATCTGGTCCAGGTGCTTTATTCACCTTTATTTTGTCTAAATATTTTTGGAACATATCAATTGTGAGCCAATGTGGATCATCTGGGGCTGTGTCAATACCATGCCCATTATGGACAAGAGCTCCCCCATCCTCCTTGGTATACACAGAGCTGAAGAAGGTATTTAATAAATGTGCTTTCTCATTGTCCTCAGTCACCTACTCTAGATTATTTCATAAAGGGCCCATATGCTAGGACCGGACCTTTTTACTATTAATATATCTGAAGAATTTTTGGGGGTTGGTCCTGCTATCTTTTGCAATCTGTCGTTCGTTTTCAATTTTTGCGGCCTTTATTTCCTTTTTGCATATTCTATTATATTCTTTGTAATGTTTAACCACCTTCCGCCCGCCCTATAGTACAATGATAGGTGCAAGGTGGTTCTCTCGTTCTGATAGGACATCATATGACGTCCTACCATTCTCACTGTGCATGCGCGGCTCAGGGATCGCGCAGCGCGGCGATCGCCGGTGCTCTGTGTCCCTTGGACACAGCGGATCACGGAAAGAGCCGAAGATGTCTGCTTGGTCATGTGATCAGCTGCGTCCAATCACAGCTGATCACATGTAAACAGGGAAATGCCGGTTATCGGCATTTCTCTCCTCTCGAGCTGTCATGCTGACAGCTCGAGAGGAGAGGAGAGCCGGTAATCGGCTTTCCGCGGAGGGGACATGTACACTGATCATCAGGGCACTGATGATCAGTGTGCCCTGATGATCAGTGTGGCCCCAGAAGTGCCACCTGTCAGTGCTCATCAGTGCCACGTGCCAGTGCCCATCAGTGCCACGTGCCAGTGCCACATCAATGCCACATATCAGTGCATACCAGTGCACATCAATACCACATATCAGTGCCCATCTGCGCTGCCTTTCAATGTCACCCATCAGTGCCAGTCAGTGCCTCCTATCAATGCCACCTATCAGTGCTGCCAATCAGTGCCACCTATCAGTGCCAGTCAGTGTCACCTATCAGTGCGCATCAGTGCCAGTCAGTGCCGCCTAGCAGTGCCAGTCAGTGCCGCCTATCAGTGCCAGTCAGTGCCTCCTAACAGTGCCAGTCAGTGCCGCCTATCAGTGCCAGTCAGTGCTGCCTATCAGTATCGCCTATCAGTGCCATATATCAGTGTCATGTATCAGTGTTATGTATCAGTACTGCCTTTCAGTGCCCATCAGTGATGCCTGTCAATGTCCATCAGTGCCACCTACCCGTGCCTCTTCATCAGTGCCCATCAGTGCCATCTATCAGTGTCCATCAGTGAAGCCTATCAGTGCCCATCACTGCAGCCTCATTAGCGCACATCAGTGAAGGAGAAAAATCACTTATTTACAAAATTGTATAACAAAAACTAAGAAAAAACTTTTTTTTTTTCAAAATTTGTGGTTTTTGGTTTGTTTAAGAAAAAATAAAAATCCCACAGGTGATTAAATACCACCAAAAGAAATCTCTACCTGTCACAAAAAAATGATAAAAATTTCATATGGGTACAGTGTTGCATGACCGCGCAATTGTCATTTAAAGTGTGACAGCACTGAAAGCTGGAAATTGGCCTGGGCAGGGAGGGGGTATAAGTGCCCTTTAGGCTAGTGGTGAAACAATGATAGCATTCCCTCACTTTTATATTTAATAAAAGCTCTTTTCTTATTATCTATAGCTTTTTTTATCTTTGGCCGTAAGCCACATAGGTTTGATTTTTAGCCTTTTAAACTTGTTGCCCATGGGAATATATTTTGCAGTGTGTTCACATACAGTCTTTTTGAAGAACTCCCATTTCTGTGTTGTGTTCATTGATGCCAATCCCGTGCCCAAGTCTTGGAGAGCAGCTCTCAGCCTTGGAAAATTAGCTCTCTTAAAATTGAGCTTTTTTTATTTTTTCCGTATGTGCTTGCTGTTTACAGCTAACAATAAATGAAATCATGTTAGGGTAACTGCTACCCAAATGTTCTTTTATATGGACATTCGTAATAAACTGCATGGTTTGCGATTACCAGGTCCAGCAGAGCATCATTCCTAGTTGGGGCCTCTATGACCTGTACCATAAAATTGTCCTGTAGTAGGTTTATAAATTTTTGCCCTTTAACTGTTCCTGCAGTACCATTACTCCAGTAAATAGCCGGGTAGTTAAAATCCCCCATTATTATCACTGTCCCAGCCCTTGCAACCCTTTCGATCTGTGCAAGGAGCTAAGTCTCCACCTCCTCATGAACACTGGGAGACCTATAACAAACTCCAACACTTACCTTTGTAATATGTACCCCCATGTGCAGTTCCACCCATAATGCTTCAGCCTCATCACACTCTCCATCAACTATGTCCTCTTTCATACTTGCTCTGAGATCACTTCTCGCATAGAGACAGACACTGCCACTTTTCCTATTTACCCTGTCTCTCTGAAAGAGAACATAGCCAAAATATTAGTGATACTGTGTACTATTATGATTCTTAGTAGTATTAGTTGTATCTTAGTGATACTAGGGTTGATTTACTAAAACCGAAGATAGTGCAAAATCTGGTGCATCTGTGCATGACAGCTTCTAACTTCAGTTTGTTCAATTAAAGTGGTTCTACAGGCTCAAGATTTTTTACCTTTGTGCATTTTATGCATGAAGGTAAAAAACCTTTTCTGTGCAGCATCTCCCCCAACCCCCCTAATATTCACCTAAGTCCCTTCTTGATCCTGTGATGTGCACTGGAGTCTCAGCTACTCTGGGACTCCCTTTTCTCATTGGCTAAGACAGAAGTGGGAGCCATTGGCTCCAACTACTGGCAATCACAGCCACTGAGCCAATGAGAAGAGAGAGGGGGCGGAGCCAAGCTGCGGCTCCATGTATGAATGGATAGCTGCTTGCACTGGGGGCACCCTAGAGGAGGGAGGAGCCAGGAGCACCTGCAGGGGACCTGAGAAGAGGAGGATCCAAGCTGCTCTGTGCAAAACCACTGCACACAGCAGCTAAGTATATTTTATTTTTTTATATGTTTGTTATTTTATTTTTTAGCTGATTGGTTTCTATGCAGAGTTGCACCAGATTTTGCACTCTCCAATTTTATTAAATCAACCACACTATGTATTATTGTGATTCTTTGTAGCAGTTGGGTGTGTTATTGATACTATGCATTATTATTAGTAGTAGTAGTTGTATCTTAGTGATACTATGTATTATTATTATTAGCAGTAAGTAGTTGTATCTTAGTGATACTATGTATTATTATTATTATTAGCAGTAAGTAGTTGTATCTTAGTGATACTATGTATTATTATTATTATTAGCAGTAAGTAGTTGTATCTTAGTGATACTATGTATTATTATTGTTCTTAATAGTAGTAGTAGTTGTATCTTAGTGATACTATGTATTATTATTGTTCTTAATAGTAGTAGTAGTTGTATCTTAGTGATACTATGGGGTTGATTTAATAGAGACAAATAGTCTGTGCACGGCAAGTGCACCCCAAATGCAGTTGCTCTAGATCTGATGGGAAGCTGTGAAATGAATTTTCCTTGTATGTGATTGGGTATTCTTTGCAAAGTGAAGTTTTACTGATTTACAAAGCTCTGAACCAACTGCACTTGCAATCCACTTGCAGTGCGCAGTATATTTGCCTTTAGAAAATAAACCCCTATGCATTATTATGATTCTTGCCAGTAGTCGGGGGTGTTAGTGATACTATGTAATTATTATTATTCTTAGAAGGAATAGTTGTATATTGGTGATACTATGCATTATTATTGCTCTTAGTAGTAGTTAGTAACACAATGCATCATTATTATTAGTAGTAGTAGTAAAAGTAGGTGTAGCTTAGAGATACTATATATTATTATTAGTAGTAGTAGTTGTATATTGGTGATACTATGTATTATTATTATTAGTAGTAGTAGTAATTTGTATATTGGTGATACTATGTATTATTATTAATAGTAGTAGTTGTATATTGGTGATACTATGTGTTATTATTAGTAGTAGTAGTTGTATATTGGTGATACTATGTATTATTTTTATTAGTAGTAGTTGTATATTGGTGATACTATGTGTTATTATTATTAGTAGTAGTTGTATATTGGTGATACTATGTATTATTATTATTATTAGTAGTAGTTGTATATTGGTGATACTATGTATTGATCCTAGATTGTAAGCCCGAAGAGCAGGGCCCTCAATCCCCTCATGTTTTGCATTGTATTGGTATTGTTCTGTCACATGTTCTGTCCCCCTTTGTAATGTACAGCGCTGAGCGAACTATTGGCGCTTTATAAATACTGTATAATAGTAATAATAATTATTAGTAGTAGTAGTTGTTTATATATTGTGATACTATGTAATATGAGGATTCTTCTTCGTAGTTTTTGTATATTGGTGACACTGTGTATTATTATTATTATTAGTAGTAATATATTGGTGATGCTATTATTATTAGTAGTAGTAGTAGTTGTATATTTGTGATACTATGTATTATCATTAGTAGTAGTTGCATTTTAGTGATACTATGTATTATGAGGATTATTGGTAGTAGTAGTAGTTGTATATTGGTGATGCTATGCATTATTATTAGTAGTACTAGTTGTATATTGGTGATGCTATGTATTATCATTAGTAGTACTAGTTGTTGTATATTGGTGATGCTATGTATTATTAGTAGTACTAGTTGTATATTGATGATGCTATGTATTATCATTAGTAGTACTAGTTGTATATTGGTGATGCTATGTATTATTAGTAGTACTAGTTATATATTGGTGATGCTATGTATTATCATTAGTAGTACTAGTTGTATATTGGTGATGTTATGTATTATTATTACTACTAGTTGTATATTGGTGATGCTATGTATTATTATTATTAGTAGTAGTTGTATATTGGCGATGCTATGTATCAGTAGCAGTAGTAGTAGTTGTATATTGGTGATGCTATGTATTATTAGTAGTAGTTGTACATTGGTGATGCTATGTATTATTATTATTAGTAATAGTTGTATATTGGTGAAACGATGTATTATTATTAGTAGTAGTAGTAGTAGTTGTATATTGGTGATGATATGTATTATTATTAGTAGTAGTAGTTGTATATTGGTGATACTATGTATTATTATTAGTAGTCATAGTTGTATATTGATGATGCTATGTATTATTATTAGTAGTTGTATATTGGTGATGCTATGTATTATTATTATTATTAGAAATAGTTGTATATTGGTGAAATGATGTATTATTATTATTATTAGTAGTAGTTGTATATTGGTGATGCTATGTATTATTATTAGTAGTAGTAGTAGTAGTAATTGTATATTGGTAATACTATGTATGTATTTTAGTTAGTTTGTATATCGGTGAAGCTATGTATTATTATTAGTAGTACTTCTTGTATATTGGTGATGCTATGTTTTATTAGTAGTAGTATTTGTTGTATATTGGTGATAGTATGTATTCTGATTAGTAATAGTTGGATATTGGTGATGCTATGTATTATTATTATTAGTAGTAGTAGCTGTATATTGGTGATGCTATGTATTATTATTAGTAGTAGTAGCTGTATATTGGTGATGCTATGTATTATTATTAGTAATAGTAGCTGTATATTGGTGATGCTATGTATTATTAGTAGTAGCAGCTGTATATTGGTGATACTATGTATTATTATTAGTAGTAGTTGTATATTGGTGATGCTATGTATTATTAGTAGTAGCTGTATATTGGTGATACTATGTATTATTATTAGTAGTAGTTGTATATTGGTGATACTATGTATTATTATTAGTAGTAGTTGTATATTGGTGATGCTATGTATTATTAGTAGTAGCTGTATATTGGTGATACTATGTATTATTATTAGTAGTAGTTGTATATTGGTGATGCTATGTATTATTATTATTATTAGTAGTAGCTGTATATTGGTGATACTATGTATTATTATTAGTAGTAGTTGTATATTGGTGATGCTATGTATTATTATTATTATTATTAGTAGTAGCTGTATATTGGTGATACTATGTATT